TGTCTGACAAGATTTACTGCACTGAACAAGTTCAAAGAACTAGGGACTGAATCTCAAAATAGGAATACATTTCCTCTCACCCACCTAGTAGAAGTCAAAGCTTTAAGGAACTGAACTCCATACACAAAATATGCAAGCTTTAAGTATTCAACAATGGGACCCTTAAAATCAAGGGTAACTTTCTAACAGGAGGCTGTACCATTTCACTTATTTCCATTAAAAATAAAAAGTTCTGAAAGAAACAAGCAGAAATTAGGACTCAGTTCTCCTCCAGACAAGTGAGCCTAAACACAACAAAGACATACTTGCCTTACTTTGGCTCTCCTTGCATCCTTGTGAATCATGGAGAGCTTCCAAAAGAGACTGCATAACCAGATGGCTGAAGAGGTGACAGATGGAGATTGGAGCCATCAGGCAGATAATAGAATTAACCAGAATTTCATACTGCTTCAAAGACTGATGAACCACCAGACCATCAAGCAGAGGAGGAGATTCCTCAAAAAGCAGGAGATTCCTATCAAAAAGTCACTTTGGAAAAAATAAAGCTCTGAACGGGAAAGTAAGCAGCAGTCACAGTTCTTTTTGAGAAAGGGGTGAGTAATCAACATGCAGGACAGATTCAGACTTAGCTCCTAACATCCTGAGATCACAAGGTACACACTAACATCCCAGGGAGAAATAGGATAAAAACCCTCCAGAGAAAAACCACAGTCTGGAAGTAGAGCATCTTCCATTTTATGGTGATTTTAGAAGGCTCTGGATGGTACTTCAAGTCTACATATTCTGCATTACAGCTTCTTCCATCCAACACCACGGTTGCAGCATAAGTGTTTAGAATGAGTGTTAAAATTCAGTAGTAGAGTTTGAACCTATATATTTATCTTCTGTTCAACTTTCTGTTTTTTCTTTCTCAAGGACTTATTTCCTACCAACCACTTTTCTGTCTGCTGATCTCATGATTATGCTTCTACCTGAATATTTCAGAATGTAAGTAATTTCACGAAAAATACTGGTTTTTGCAGGTCCTAGCAGGTCCCACTAAATAATATTAAGAAAAAAAAACCCTGCTGAAGCACTTGATTTCACAGAGAGAAACTACATAATCATATTGCCTCTTGTCAGGTGCAGTATACATTATTTCTTCCCATCTATAATTGTGCTAACACAGGAAAATGCCCATATTAAGTTTTCAATGGCCTTTTAATTAACACACTAGATTTTGAAAACTGTTTTTTAAATATTATGTGTGAAATATATTCTGCAGTTCTCATGAGTCAACCTCACCATCTCCTTTACTTCTCCCCCTTCCCTGCTCGTTTTCTCACATGCCCTACTTTTATGCCCTACTCCTCAAATGAGAGCCTGCCATTATACCTGACTGCAGAAAGAGTCATTCAGATTTCATTCAATAAAATCAGGATTTGACTTCCAGTAAGCATCTTTTTTTTCAAAGTGAGAAACTCCACTTTATTTAAGTGCATGTGTTTTTGCTGAAATGACTGAATCAGCACTACAAAAATATCGTATACCAAAACCCTAACTAGTTAAAGAGAAAATAACTTTCAACTATATCATCAATAATAAAAATGCCACAAGATACATTCAGAATCAATACACAAAGCATTTATGATCCACTAGTGGTATTATTGACGACTCAATTTGCGTTTCTTAGTGATTTCCATGTGAAAATCCATGGGACTAACTTCTCACAATCCATTCACTTTGTCATATCTGATACACAGCTGTTCCCTTTGGGGAGATTATCCACACGCAGACCAAAGAAAGCTGTTTCTGAGGCTGAGCCTCAAGCCATGGCAAATTCCAGGATAAAGTATGTATGAAGAAAATCTCAGGCACAGGGCAACTTAGAAAAAGGGGTATCCAATTGTATGATTTAGAAAGCCTAACCTGTGAATCTTTTAAAAAGAATAAACTAAATTAGGTGCCAAAACAACTTGGCACAGCCAGTACTTATGTTCTATCTCAGAAGAAGAAACCTTGCCTCCTAATGGACTCCAGGAGAAAGTAGTTGTCTAAGGAAGAGACTGTAAAGGTCAGGATTGATGCCATGACATTTTTTCAGCATTTTGGAAAGAATCAGTGACACTAGAAGGGCAAATAATTCACTGAAGTGACCAAGAGGTTCCCCTTAGACTAGCTGAAGAACATATTGCACAATGGTAGTGTACTTTATCTGACTAATGTGATTATACTGGAATTGAGTGTGCACTGACACATTCCCGCTCATGCTGATAAATGCAGAGTGAAGAAACTGTCAGCAATCCAAGAGGAAATGAAGGAAAAAAAGTTGCCTACCCAGAAACTTAAAGACAAAATAACTGTCGCCATGAGACATTTACGATCTCTGTTCCTCTGCTATTTCCACACAACACCATTTAGGTGAGGGCCATTCCTCTCAGCCAGAGCCGTCACATCAAGCAAAAGACACAAACAGCTAGGATGAAAAGCTTGAAGAAACCCCCCCAGGAAAAAAAAAATTTTCCACATCACAGCCAGCTATGTACCCAGTCTTAGCATAAACATGACAAAACCACCCTCTTTTTACCATTTCTCATGCAGAACAATGGGGAGCATATGTACACATCTACACTGACATACAATTATTTATTTGGGTTTTGTTTCAGATTGGACGTTGTGAATTTTAAAAAGAAAACCATATGACAGATCAAGAATCAATGAATTGCATGGACATACCTGAGAAATAGAAACTACAATCTGTTCTGAATTGGTAGTAAAAATATGTCTTCCTTTTTCTCCAGCTGTATACAAACTGATTAAGTAAGACAACTTACCAGCTATAAAAATTTAACAGAGTTTTGATTTCGCTGTTTTTTTTTCTAGATGTATTACAGCCATTATGATACATCTGATAATGACAAAAAAAAAAAAAAGTATTATCCCTGACATAGAAAAATGCGTTTCTGAGTGACTTGAGAAATTTTGCAAAACAGGTCTCATCATCAACCATACTGAGTTTAATGCTGGTTGTCCAAAGAACATCTCCACTGATACTAAGCCTTCTAAGGGCACAACCTATCAAAATTTTTCAACTTCCTTCAACTAAATAAGAAAGAGCCTGGCTGAAAAGTCTGCATGCGCATTCAAAAGGTCCATCCATGAACCAAGCTCCAAGTCTTGCAAAAAGTGCCTGAAAAATTATAATAATATAATATTATTATAATAAAATATAATAATATAATATATAATTCAGTGGGTTGAGAAGATAAATAAAAGACTGGGATTCACTTTTCATCTGAAAGCAAATTCTAAGTTTGGGCAACAGCTAGGATTAATCTACGTAATGCATTTACAGAGCTTTATTTTTTTATATTTATATATATAGTATATGTGTGTATATTTATATACCCCCACACACCTTTATTTATTTGTGTAATTTTTACCGCAATATAATGAAGCTCATCTGAAGTGGTTTTTTTTCAGGTTTTGTGTAGCTCATGTTCTTAACAATTATCAAATGACCTGTTATGTATGTACTGCATGTACTACACTGGATCTTCAATCTGGGTAGTTCAGAAATAGAAGACAACACTGAAGCTGTTGTAGTTATCTCTGTGCACCTCTGCATCATGCCCTGTGGATAAATTTCAATAACATGGTTTACCACTGTTGCTGTTTCTTTGCATTTTCATAAGGCAGAGAGAACCCAAGCCTGGTCCTAATACACAAACTCATGCACACAGTTGGACTTTGAAGAAGCTTAAATTATTAAGACAGACAATGGACAGACGGTGGAAATGTGCATTTTTGCTTGGTAAGTATAAAAAGGAGTGCGTAGCCCTAGCTGTGTTAGTAACAGCTTATACCTTCTGCTGAAAAAAAACCCACAAAATACCTCCACATATTACCTTTTTCTTTTGAAAAATAAGATTGTTGCAGTGTTTCACCAGGTTAAAGCATACTGTAAGACTGCATGATGTGGCATCATGAACTTCCTCATCCTCTGTTTACATTTCCACGCAAATTCTTCCCAGCAAAGAAAAGTGAGAAGTTTTGGGTTACCATATGAAGAAACTAAGCCCGATTGTCACTTTGTAGATGAGAGCCAATGCTGGCTCACAAGTTTGGTGAGGGAGAAAAAAGGAAATACTTGTTTCAGTTCTGTTAGACTTACGGGATGGTGCATTTTCATTTACCACTGAACTAAGTAACTCAAGTGTTCCCAGCTGTGTACTCCAAATTTGAATGCTAGCCCAAAAGTGGCTAGCTTAATCTCATTTCCAGGGTAAAATGCTCACCTTCTGGTTGCATGCTTCACACCAGGGCATCAGATTGTCAGAGGCCTGAACTTCTGAACTAAAGACAACTCCTGATGTTGTTTTATCTTTCCCAAAACTTATTTTACTGCTTATTCTGCCCAATCACCCTTTTGTATCATTCCAGTCCTTGAGAGGGGTGATTGAACTAACAGCCCATACACATTCACAGTGTGAAAGTGTTTGGCAGTGCAAAATCACAGACAAATTATGCCCCACTAGAGACTATGTTCTCCAGGCACCATCCACTGGCTTCCTGAGGCAATGGCAACTCTAAGACCACTAATTTATTTCATATAAGTCATTGAAAGATTACATAGGGGACCAAAGCTAGATTTGAACTGATCACTTAAGGAGGAAAAGCTCCATATCCCATTGTATTGAGCTATCTGGCATCCTCCTTCATTCTCTGCCTCTGGCTGGAGATTTTAAAAAAACAGTACTCTGCCAGAGAACAGAGTGGATCCATCTCCATGGAGCAAAGACAAACATTTGATTCCTTTTTAAGATTACTCTTTTTAAATAAGGGAAGTATCTCTTCAGATTGAGATATGCTAACTTCTCTGTAGCAAAGGATCTTTGTTGTTATTTCCTGCCTAGTTTATTACTGAGAAATAGTGATAGAAAGCAGTCAAGGAAAAGGCACTCAGACTGTGGCAAGGAGAAACTCCTCTTAAGAATGCTAAATCCTAATTAGGGACTAACCTGCATACTTCTAAATCATCAGACCAGTCATCATACAACACTGGAGGCTTCTGAACAGCATGAGGCACAGTGGGCCCTGCCCCAGCAGGTGCTCCATGATCTGGGGCTGCCAGAGCATCGCTGCCAGAGCCTGCCTCTGCAAAGGAGTCCTTCGTGTGTCTAAGGAAAGGTGCAGGCTGCCGGTCTCTGTGGTAGCTTTTCCCTTTGCTTTTCCCACATTTTCTTGAGGAAATCCTTGCTTCCTGAGATGATGCTGAAGACTGTGATTCCTTAAGCCTTGGAATCCTTCGGCGGCGATTTAAAGTAGGATTCTCAGGGTCAGACACCTCTTGTTTCTCTTTTCCCATTGTCCCCAAGGTGACAAGTTCAACAGCATTATTGTTTGAGGACCCATCCTGGTTACTGCATGATCTATTGTTTCTTCTCCCTCTCCTGGCCATCCTGGCCTTTTCTCTTGCTCTCCTCCTAGCCTGAGCCCACTGACTCTCATCTGAAGATGATGATGAATCAGATGCATTCCAGCTGGATCTCGGAGGCTCAGGATGCAATTTACAGTTTCTCCCCTTTCCTTGCTTTTCTGTGTGCTCACCATTGTCTCCAGTCTCTCTTTTCCGCCTAAACCTTCGTTTTATGAATTTCTTACCACCAGGCTCCCTATTAGTAGGGGCCAGCACCATGACAGGGGTTGCATGTTCAAGCTCATCTTCTGACAAATCATGCAAGGCAGTAGATCTAGACAAAGCAGTAAGCAAAGGAAAGGGATGGAAATGGTAAGGGTGGGTAGAAAGAGAAATCACACACAAAAAAAAAAGGAAAAAGTATGAGAATGAGAACATGAATTTTAATAAACATGAGACTAAAACACAAAAACAAAACCAAAACAGAAATCAAAAGCAAACTAAAGTCTATGCCAATTATGAATAAAGTTAAGCAGAAGCAAGAGCTACATAATATTTAATAAAAGCAACTAACAAGTATCAGCCAGATGAGAGTATATTTTTCTCAGCACATACCTACAAATGTCCTGAGTGGAGGGGCAGACAGACAACCGAGATTGACTCCTGGGAGCTGTTCCTGTTGTAGGACTGCTTGCCTGTTGAAATAAGTTAGACAGTTTGGAATCTTTGTCCATGAAATACATTGCAGATATTTTACTGCTTTGCCACATGATCACAAAATCAAAATAACTGCTTCTGCTGTTCATAGCGCACTGTTGAACACACAGAAGCTGGCAAAATACAGGAAGCTCGAACAAAAGTGAAACCTATTTGTGGAACTAAGTACAACTGAAGTGTTTGAGCTCTCATTCGCTCATGAATGCTTTTTGTCACTGTTTGAGGAAGCAGCTTTCAGCATTTGAATTTTCATTTGGCTCTACTGTAAATGTCTGAAGGGAAAAAGTACTGGTTTTCTTTAATGCAGTCAACCAACCATGATGATACCTTTCCAAATCACGTGAAGTGCATTTGCGATACATTGAGTGATGAAGAACACAAAGCTAACTCAGGCTGAGTGGACTGATGAAACAGCAGGAAGATTAGAGTGTGTTTTAAAAGGTTTTCAAGGCAATCAGATCTTCTAGAAGAGCTGAAAATGTTAAACTGAGATGAGCCAGAAAAATTCAAAGTGCACGCTGCATCTCTACAGAGCTGATCACATTCTCAAACAGCAGAAGAGATATAAAACATGTTTAGTATGTGACATTTTGCTCACAAGGTTGTTGCTACAAATTGCAGATTCAGTTACCCAATACTTTCACTGAAAACATATTTTGATGGCGTTAACAACAAACCATTTCAATCTGCCTTGCTATCTACTGGCAGCAGAACTGTATGGAATCCAAATGTAAATGCAAGGCATTGTGATTCTTCAGGATCCCTCACAAGACACAGTATTGTGGGAAGTGGGTTCAATACAAATCATTCTTAAGGCTATGACCTTCCTGTAGCTGATCAGGGGTATTATTAGCTTTTAGGATGCAACCCCATCCATCCCATTGTGATCACCACTTCCAAATGCAGACAAAATACTACAAGTCTCAGAATTCCACAAGATCGAGCACCAGATGCAAGGGAAGGATGACTGTTAAGAAAGAGTACAAAGTACAAATCATACAAATATGTAAAGCCTGTTATCCAAATCTTTTGTACTAGCAAACCAAATTCAGTCAGATAATTGAAATTATTTCTAGCTCAACTTTCACAGACATTTTTGTGGTGTTAAAAAGGTGTTGGAAAATTAGTAGTAAAAGCAAAAATAATTACAAACGGCAAGTACCTGCCAACACTTCACTTTCAGCCAAGGTTCTCAACATCCATTCTATTTTATGCAAGCATCTTTTGGAACCATCAGTCACCACTATGTGGATTTTTGCTTTTATATGGATACCAGCTGAGACTTCAGAATAGTGTTTTTGCATGAAAACATTCTTCTAGCTCCTGGAATTCAAGTAACCATTTTTACCTGTTGATCACTATCACAAAAATACACCAACCCACCAATGATATTACTAATTCTTTACTTCTGGTTCCATGAATGTAAATCAGAAATACAACACCTAAGCCAAAATGAGAAATTAAATTGATAAAGCAATTGATAAATTCATTGACACAATCCTTGTGTTCTAAGTTTTTGCCATGTCACCATCAAAGGAGAAACATTAATGTGTATACATGCAGTGTCATGCTGGAAGAAAAGGACAAGTATCTGTGAGAGAAATTGTATTCCGTATCTCCTTTTCTATAAAAGCAGTATTTCAGTTATATGCATTGGGACAGAGTATGAGTTTTTCCAACATACATATTGGAAACATATGTTAGATGCATGGTTTGGTATATAATCTCCTTCCATCTCAGCCTCAGAGATTAGCATTAAGTAATTAGGCATGTCTTAAGCTACCTAATGAGGAAAGATGCAGACATCAGCACCAATAACTAATGTTGTTGGGTTACGTGCTGCTGCTGCGTGAAGGAACATCCCTCCAGACTAAGCCCCAGTGGAAAAACTGCTGAATAAACCCAGCCTAAGCATCACCTGTGGAATCCTAAATTCATACCTCATGATGAGCTCATTTCTTTCTTCCTCACAGCTCCAGGACTGTTACCATTGCTTCTTTTGGGATCTCTGCACTACAGGGGTTTGGCCTGGTCTTTAATGGTGGTCAGGTCAACACCATACAGTAAAATGAATTTTTACATCACCTTGCCACAAGCAATACCCTTTGAAGGGATAAGGAGATTGGCTAAGCTGGCCCAGCAACCATACAGCAAGTCTGCACAAGTTCAAGTAACTTTCAGCAGCTATTAAAGCAGGAAGCCAGCTAGACAACTCTTAAGAGAGCTGAAATAAAGCCAAAAACTAAACAAGCTCCTTGAAAAGCTTTTACACTTATGATTTGGAACTGCAGACCAGCAGAAAACTAATTCTTTTAAGATAAAAATTACATTATCAGTTTGACTACTTAAACCTTACATTTCACTTTCAACTGTCAAGAGGTCTGGACTGTTTCAGCCCTGCTCAGTCAAATTTACTTTCTAGTTCCCCTGTACAGGCATGATACTGTGTTTAGTTGTACATAATTCATAGGAAAGTTTATTTCCTTCAAAACTGATTTACATAAATAGCTTTTACAAAATTAATGCTTTTTATTATTCGTCTAAGCCCTATCTGAGCAAACATGACAACTGGCAGGCAAAAAGCCAATGCACCATTTAAGTCTTCAAAAACAAAGCATGACAAGTTATACACAAGATAATTCAGATTCTTACCTGTGACCAAATATAATTAATTCCATTTCTACAACTCTGTAACACAAATTTTTATCTACATTACCTAAATTTATATGCATTTATCTACATTAAATTAGCTTTTCATGGTAAAATCATAGATTCATAGAATACCAGTTGGATGGAACCTCAAAGATCACCTAGTCCAACCTTTCTTGGCAAAAGCAGTGTGGACAACATGTCCCATCACCCCGTCCAGCTGAATCTTAGAAGTGTCTGATGTCATGGGGAAAAAAAAAAATGAACTGATGGAGTGATTTCTAAAACCAAAAAGGCTAGTGTTTCTGATATTAATTTTCTGATGTTGATTTGCGTCCCTCACAGGAAATGAAGGCCCTTATTTTGTAAATAGGTCCACTCTTTGATTTACTCTTTGTAAATCAAATAGGAGTGGAAGGACCTGCTAATGTCAAGTCTGTCCTTGCTATAACATGTCATATGAATATAACAATTCACAGCTAGATGAGCTGTTTTTAAGAACCTGTAAATTTCAACTCATCTGGAGGCCTAGTCCAGACCTTTAACCCCAAACCCCTTTACTTTTTCATCCTACTCTGTTCTGACAGCAGTAACTGTATCTGCTTTCTGCTACCAGCACTTCCTCTAGGTTTATCCCAATTCTTTTGGCAATATTCCCTCTCTGCCATCTCTTTTACAAGCCATATATCCCAAACTAACTTTAAAAAAAATTAAATAATATCTCTTAAATCCAGTCTGAGAGCAAAGATATCTAAAGGGGCATTTACTTGGGTAGTGCGTTTACAGAGAGAACTGTGTATTTTCAAGGCATATCTGACAAACCAGAAGATGACAATTTGAATATATTCTGCTCACGTCTTATCAGCCCAGCTCTTTTGGGAATGTATATGTAACAGATGTTGGAAACAGTCTCAAGCAGACAGATCTTATTGCTGTAATCACTATCCCATTGCTATTTTACTATACAGCATACTGAATATTTTGAGATACTGTATTTAGTGAATAGAGGGGTCAGACTGATGCTGAGGACTCCAATTCCACCTGGGAGGCTGAATAACAACATTTTTTTTTAATAGTATTCCTTGAGTGAATGTCTTCTTCAGACAAGTATATTGCACAGCTCACTGGAATGGGAAAACTAAACAAGCACCGTACTAATTTTATCATAACAAATTACATCAGTAGCAAAATTAAATTTCAAAATAAAGCTGTCTCACAATTAATTTATAAGCAAGGCAGCTCATTTCTCTATGCCACCAGCACAAGGAAGAGGTCTAAGGGAGAATGCCAACTCCAGCTGATCAGGTTTGGCATTTCAAAAAGATTGTTAGGAGAGAGAGATTCCCCAGCCACCACCTTCTGCTGTCTCGGCTAGTTTAGATGAACTCTCTTGTCAAGGATAAGTAATTCAATTAACAGACATGACAGGGCACTCATCCATAATTATTTTTGGTATGTTGGTAGCGTGCTTTTCAAGCAGAATACTGGTAAATGTAAAATTTTCAGGATAAGCAAGATGATAATCACCCAGCAAAAGGGGACTTCAGTCTCACACACGGGTCTCTGCTAGAAAACCAGCAAAGTCAGAAAAAGGGGACAGAAATAAGTACAACTGGTGAAAACAGTAAGAATTTCAAAACAAGACTACCTTTTCTTAGGTGTTCAGGATCTGACAGAAGTTTCCAGATAAGAAAAAAATAATAAAATAATGAGTAAAAAAGGTCCTTAGAGGCCATCTGTTGCTTAACCTGCATGTTGAAACTAGTGCAAGAACATGAGTCAAGTTGTGCTTTTCCTAAGAACACAGAAGGGATCTGCTTCAGCTCAACAGAAAAGCTGAGTAAAAGCAGATTCCATAAGTGCAAAGAATCACATAGTGAGGGAGTGAAGCTTTAAATTGACAAACTAGATGATGTAATGGGCAGCTTATATAAAATGGCCTCACAGCTATCACTAAGGCTAATGAAACCTCTCCTGTCTCTGTTCTGAATAGAAGCATTTTCAAAAGGTGGTCAACTGAGAACACTGCGGAAGAAGAAAGCTGCAGACAATTGACGGGTGATAGGGCAGACAGGGAACATGTCTAATGCTTTTATTCTCCTGCTGAGTTTGCTCTAGTAGCAGTGCTGCATCACAGAACACTCCAGATCCCACCAGCCATTATAGTTAAAAAGCTGAAACTCTATCCTCTTTGAAAAACAGCACACAAAGGAATGGATCCCTTAGAAGATTAGAGCAATTTGTCTGTCTATAAGCTCAGCAGAAGACCCAGTCTGTGTATTTTAGTCTGAAAATTTCTGCTTTGTAAACAATGCAACATTCTGCAGAA